CCCAAGTCAAGAAGGGAGAGTACTGACGTGTCATGGGATTGTTAACCAATGTCATAAAACAATATATGTACTAACTGTTTAATGAGAAGCTAGTTTGTTCTGTAAACCTTCATCTAAAGTACAATAAAAAAAAAATCAACGGTACTGAAGGAAGAAGGCCAAGCTGCACTGAAGGGAAGGGTGGAAAACAAGGCTCCAGGAATTGACAGAATACCATATGAGATGTTTCAACAAACGGATGCAGTGCTGGGGGTGCTCACTGGTCTATGTTAAGAAATTTGGAAGACAGCTACCTGGTCAACTGACTGGAAGAGATCCATATTTGTGCCCATTCCAAAGGTGATCGAACAAATGCAGAAATTATCAAACAATATCATTAATACCACACACAAGTAAAATTTTACTGAAGATCATTCAAAAGCAGTTGTTAACAGTACATTGACAGGGAACTGCTGAAGTTCAAGCCAGGTTCTGAAAAGAACATAAAACAAGGGATATCACTGCTGATGTCAGGTGGATCTTGGCTGAAAGTAGAGAATACCAGAGGGATGTTTACATGTATTTTATTGACTATGCAAAGGCATTCGACTGTGTGGATCAGAACAAATCACTGATAACATTGCGAAGAACAGGAGTTTCAGAACACTTAATTGTGCTCACGAAGAACCTGCCCATAAACAAGAGGCAGTCTTCAAACAGAACAATGGGATACTGTGTGGTTTAAAATCAGGAAGGGTGTTCGTCGGGGTTGTATCTTTTCACCATACTTATTCAATCTGTATGCTGAGCAAATAATCGGAGAAGCTAGACTATCTGAAGAAGAACACAGCATCGGGATTGGAGGAAGACTCATTAACAACTTGCCATAGGCAGATGATACAGCCTTGCTTGCTTGCAGACATTGAAGAGGACTTGAAGCACTTACTGATGAAGATCAAAGACTACAGCCTTCAGTATGGATTACACCTCAACATAAAGAAGACAAAAATCCTCGCAACAGGACCTATAAGTAACATCACGATAAATGGAGAAAATATTGAGGTTGTCAAGGATTTCATTTTACTTGGATCCACAGTTAATGTACATGGAAGCGGGAGTCAAGAAATCAAAGGATGTAGTGCATTGGGCAAAAGACCTCTTTAAAGTGTTCAAAAGCAAAGATGTCACTTTAAGGACTAAGGTGCCTCTAACCCAAGCCATGATATTTGCAATTACCCCACATGCGTGCGAAAGCTGGACAATGAGTAAGGAAGACTGAAGAAGAATTGATGTGTTTGAATTACGGTGTTGGCAAAGAATATTGAATATACCGTGGACTGCCAGAAGAACAAACAAATCTGTCCTGGAAGAAGTACAGCCAGAGTGCTCCTTAGAAGCAAGGACGGCAAGACTTCATCTCAAGGACTTTGGACATGTTATGAGGAAGGAGCAGTCCCTGGAGAAGGACATCATGCTTGGTAAAATAGAGGGTCAGCAAAAGATAGGAAGATCATCAACGAGCTGGATTGATACAGTGGCTGCAACAATGGGCTCAGACATAACAACGACTGTGAGGATGGCACAGGACTGGGCAGTGTTTTGTTCTATTGTACATAGAGTCTTTATGAGTCAGAACCAAGTCGATGGCACCTAATAATAACAACATGGCAGGGCTGCGTGGGGATCAGGGTAGTGTATACTCAAAAGACTACATGCTAAGGCCAGGTCATGGCAAGACTTGTGTATGAAGCAAAACTATGCTGTTTAATTGTAACCTACAACATACAAGAACCCCACTGAAAGATTTTTAACTAGAGAAGGAAACACACACAGATTTTCACATGAGAAACATTAAAAAAAAAAAATACAAAAAGAGCAAGCCCTACAAACAAGCTACTGGTATCTCTCCCTTTGAACTTATGTTTGGCAGACCTATGAATCTGGGTCTGAGACCATGTCTCACACTCAATTTAACTAAATTCTCTCATAATCATGTTCAATACTTAAAAGGACTTCTATCTTCCCTAGAAACCCTAAAATATAAGTTCATAAGTACATGGAATGGCCCACTGGAAGAAGTTTGCCACTTCTATTTAATGGAAGATTTTGTCTACATAAAAGTGTTCCAGAGGAAAATACTGTCCTAGCACTGGGAGGAAGCCTTTCAGGTGATGCTAATCACCCATATAACTATCCGAGTGAAGGAAATACACAGTTGGATTCATGCTTCCCATGTGAATGAAGCTAGTACTTCAGGAGGACTAGACCTTGGTTCCCACGAAGGATTTGAAATTTAAGTTTTCTAGAATAACCAATATTAGTACTGAACTCAAGTGAAGAAGGTATTCTGGTGAATTTATTACTATTCTCCACAGACTGCCTTCTTGCCCTATTCACAGTAGTAGTTACTTCAATTACTTTAAGAATCACATTTTAGTTTACACTAAAAGTCAAAATTAAGAAAAAGTCATTTTAACTTTAGTTTTATATTTAAGTGATATTATTGTAAAGGCCAAACAGTGAACTGACTAATGGCTACAAAATTCAATATTCTGCTTGTGGTGATATAATCACCTTCAATTTAGTGATTTTGTAAGAGAAAATTATATTCATGTATTCTGTTGTAAAATATTATTTGCCTTTTAGCTTTTTAAAAAAATGTAACAAAAAATTCAAATTCCTTTTAAACACGTTGTAAAGGCCTTGGGAAACAAAATTTGAATCTCCAAAAATGCACTAAATAATTGAAATAACTGCTACCATGAATAGGGCAGGAAGGCAGTCTGTGGAAAATAGTAATAAGTTGACTAGAATGCCTTTTTCAGTTGAGTTCAGTACCAATATCAGTTATTTTAGAAACTTAAATTTCATATCCTTTGTGGGAACCACAGTCTCATCCTCCTGAAGTACTGGCTTCATTCACATGCGAATAAAATTAAAAATATTTAACATCAAAAAGAGAAAAAGAATTACCTTTTACTAGAAAACAAAACATGTTATTTGTTACACTACCTTTTCTCTCTGTACTTCCAGTAATGGTTCCAACAATTACTTATTTCTGATCAGTTCTATTTTGCACTTCCAGTATAGACATGGTCTGGACTTATATATTCAACAACTAAAAATTGGCAGAGTAAAAGCGAGACCATCTTCATTACTAATTTTTTATGATAACTAAGTAAAAACAACTAATACACATCCAGATATTCAAGCCCTAAGTTTGACACGCAAAAAAAAAAAAAAAAAAACACAACTTTGTTAACTGAGTTGATTGGAGGCTCCTTAACTATACTACGATCAATAGAAATGTATAGTAACCTATCTAGCAAATTCTCTGACCTTTATGATGGGAGAGATTTTGTTCAATAAATCTACGGACAACTGTAAAGCTGGTAATACCAATTTACACCCAAACTGGCAGATTCTTTATTCACACAGACAAGCAAGCAAAAAACTCTTATATCTGAAGTAATTATGATCTTTTATTTGGGCTCAACTTACAAAGTCTTCAAGCCAACAATCACCTTATGTTAAAAGACTGTGTTGTTGTTATTAGGCACTTTTGAGTCGGTTCCGACTCACAGCAACCCTGTGTACAACAGATCAAAACACTGCCCAGTCCTGCGCTATCCCCACAATCGTTGCTATGTTTGAGCCCATTGTTGCATCCACTGTGTCAATCCACCTCACTGAGGGTCTTCTGCTTTTTCCTTGACTCTCTCTCTACTTAGTCTTTAAAAGACTGAAGACATCCTTAAAAGCTAGAGAGTAAGTCTTATGGAGAAGAACTGATGCATTTGAATTATGGTGTTGGCAAAGAATATTCAATATACCATGGTCTGCTAGAAGAATGAACTAATCTGTCTTGGGAGAAGTACAACCAGAATGCTCCTTAGAAGTGAGAATGGTGAGACTTCGTCTCAAGTACTTTGAATGTTACCATGTGGGACCAGTCCCTGGAGAAGGACATCATGCTTAGTAAAGCAGAAGATCAATGAAAGAGGGGAAGACCCTCAAAGAGATCAATTGACACAGTGGTTACAACGATGGGCAACAATTGTGAGGATGGTGCAAGACCAGGCAGTGTTTCCTTCTGTTGCACACAGGGTCACTATGAGGCAGAACCAACTCAATGGCACCTAACCAGTCTTATGATAACCACCCTTCTGTGGGTTTGTCATATTTTGGTGGTTTGCATGTTGCTGTGATGCTGGAAGCTATGCCACTGGTATTTCAAGTATCAGCAGGGTCACCCATAGTGGACAGATTTCAGTGAAGCTTCCAGACTAAGACAGATCTGAAAATTAGCCAGTGAAACCTTATGGATCACAACAGAACAGTGTTTAATTTACCTTGCTTTGAACATGTCATAAGGAGGAATCAATCGCTGGAGAGAGACACGAAATTTGGTGAAGTTAGAGAAAATTCAGGGCCCTCATTATTAACCCATACAAGGGACACAGAATAGGACAGTTAATGTATGGGAAAACACATTATTTAATATTGCATCTCCATTAAGAAATTAACTATTAAAACTATGTCCAATCTGCTACAACAGACCTCTTTAAAGTGTTTAAAAACAAAGATGTCACTTTGAGTACTAAGGTGCAAGCACCCAAGCCATGGCATTTTCAATCGCATCATATGCATGCAACAGAGGGACGGTGAATAAGGAAGACCAAACAATGCCTTTGAATTATAGTGTTAGAGAAAATATTTAATACACCATGGACTGCCAGAATAAAGATTTCTTAGAAGCAAAGCTGGCAAGACTTGTAGCAGGTACATGAGATACACTATCAGGAAAGACCCGTCCTTGGAGAAGTACATTGTACTTGGTAGAGTCAGCCAAAAAAAAGAGTAGAACCCAGTACAAAATGTTTTATTAACATAGTTGTCTGAAACAATGAACACCAACATAGCATCAGTTGTCAAAACCAGTGTGTTGCCCCCTTGTACACACACGCAAAAAAAGAATTCACAAATACTAAACTCTCAAATGTTTTCACCATATTGAACAACCAGGAACAACGCAAACGAAGTTTCCTGCTACCACAAATTATGCAATCGAATTTCCCACATTTGGGGAAATCACAGGGGTCTGCACACCCGGATAAAAGCTCCGCTCTGAGAAAACGATCTTCGTAACCCTATTGCCTCTCTTGTCAAATAAAAAGACATTTCTTTTACCGCCTCCACTCAAACCCTCGTGGGCCCCACGCTCTTTATACACGGTCACTTTTCTCACGCCGCCACCGCACCCTTGCTTGCTTCCTCAGCGCCCCTTCTTCCAACCTCACAAATCAGAAAAGTAACCTGGAACAACTGGATCTTGCCACCAGCAGGACGTGAGAGCCCAGGCTGAGCAGGACCAGCGGGCTCTGCGCACCCTGCTAATCTGCATACGCCCCGCCCAGGTTATGATGTCTCCAGTCATCTCTCTGTTGTCCCTGCTCCGGACCTAAGAAGATCCGGGAGAGATCCGGGCGCGGCGGTGTGTCCGCAGCCTGTAGGGGAGGCTGGAGAAAGGGATCTCGCGGTCCCCGCCGCCCGCCTGTGGAAGGACCCACCGAGGGCATGTTAGGTCAGGGCTCTGGCTTGGTGTCGCCTTCATCCCAGCAAAAGCTTTCAGCCTGAACTCATTAAGTAATCGAAAACTCAGGAAAGGCCTTTTCCCAGGTTTACATAGTGTTAAATCGCCTTAATATCAAATCGGTAATGTCCGTCCGTGGCGTCTTCCTGAGTATGTGACATAACCGCTTCAGAATACGTAGGAATATGTAGCCTAACTTATTTACGCCGGAACGAAAACTCAGATTTCTGACCTTGAAGAAAGAAAACTAGGGTAAAGGGCGAACCTTTAACTGCAGCCAAGTGGTGTTTCCATCCCTCTCCCGGCCTCAGTGGGAAGGGTCAGGGCCCATCGGCCTTCTCTCCTCAGTACTCCTCCAGCACCACACAGGGTGACCCCTCAGCATGCTCTCTAGTCCTTTTTTACTTACACTGAATTCCCATAATTTTGTGATCATACAAGATAACCTTGCACCTGCGACCTGGGCGAAATCTGGTTCCGGGCCCCTTTTGTATTCTGATCGCCTCTTTGATGACGTTGAGAATTCGTCCATTCAACAATTGTTTATTGAGTTTCTACCACGTGCCAGAGGATCCCTGGTGGTGCAATGGTTAAGCGCTCGGCTACTGACAGAAAGGTTAGCGCAGACCCACCAGCGGCTCCGCAGGAGAAAAGACCTTTTGATCTGCTTCCGCAAAGATCTGCAGCCTAGGAAACTCTGTGAGGCAGTTCTACTCCATTATACAGGGTCACTCTGAGTCGGAATTGACTCCACTGCAATGAGTTTGGTTCGGTTTGATGAGTCGGAATCTACTCCACTGCATACAACAACGCCAGACACTGTTGCGCATCTGTAAACATTCTAGTGAGGGGAGTGGGAGAAAACGGACACAATAAAAGGTAAATTAATTTGTGTGTTAGAAAAGATGTTGTTAGGTGCCATCTAGTCGGTTTTGACTCATAGCGACCCTAAGTACAACAGAACAAAACACTGCCCTGTCCTGCACCATTCTCACAATGGTTGCTATGTTTGAGTCCATTGTTTAGAAGATGTTAAATGCTATGAAAAAAAATTGAAGAGGGAAAGGGAGGTCAGGAGTAGGGTAATGGGTATGTTGCCTTGTTGAATAGGGTGATCAGAAAAGGCCTCACTGAGAAAGTGTCTTATGAGCAAAGATTTAAAGGAGGTGAGGGAGTTAGACATGGGGATACCTGGGGGAAGAGCACCCCAAACACAAATCATCTACAGCAAAGGCTCAAATCAGACTGTGTTTGGAGAACAGCAGTGAGGCTCTGTGTCTGGAGCAGTTAGGGAGTGTTGTACAAAATTAGGTCAGAGAGTGACTGGGTGGTATAATCTGATACATATTTTAAACAATCCTTAAACATGATTTGAAAAAAAGATTGAACAACAACAAAATCATTCTGGCTCCAGTGATGGCAAGGCTGATCACAAGGAGACCAGTTAGGAGGCTATTGCATAATCCAGGCTAGATAGTGGCTGCTTGAACCAGGGTGAAGTAATGGAGCGGCTGATTCTGGAGTTACCTATAATAATATCCATTTGTTAAACCCTTACTGGATGAATAGAAGAGGCAGGCATGTGAGAAAAATATTGTGCCTGCCTTTGACTTGTCTTTTTCTGGTATCTATAAAATGATCACATTCTCCTAAAGTGAGAAGGGGCTGAATGAGGCTGGACTGGTGGCTGACGGTGTGCGTAAGCTAGTGGACCGTCCCCTGTCCTAGGGCTGTTTTTGAAGCTCTCACCTAGGGGCTCAACACAATGGCCTTAATGAAATTACTGTTTGTCTTAGGCTGGGTTTTCTAGAGAAGCAAAACCAGTAAAGCATATAAATATATAGAAAGATTTATATTAAGGAAATGGCTCACACAGTTGTAGAGGCTGTAATGTCCCAAATCTATGAGTCAGGCTGGAGTCTTCTCCTGATTTATGCAGCCACAGGGTCTGGCGAACCCAAGATGAGCCAGCAAGACAGCAGATAAGCTGCTAGCTCAAGTCCCAAGAACCAGAGGCCAGATGAACAGGAGCCAGCAGGAGGATCCAGTGTGAGCAAAAGCCCACGAGCCTTGCCAGAAAGTTCACCTATATTGGATGCAGGCCACACCCCCAAGGAAAATCTCTTTCAACTGATTGGCTACTCACAGAAGATCCCATCATGGAGGTGATCATGTTATATCAGATCTCATTATGGAGGTGATCACATACAACTGCCAAACTACATCATGACTGCCAAGCAACTGAGAATCATGGCCTAGCCAAGTTGACACACAACCTCAACAATCATACTGCTGAAGCTGAAAGATGAATGTTTCCATCTCTGATTTCTTTGTAAGAACATAGTACTAACTTTGCATGTGCTCAGAGGTAGAACCTGGGAACATACTAGGAAACTTTTTTTTGTGGGGGGGAAGGACATCTGGTAGCTTTTTATCAATTCAATAAATCAGCAAATCTATTAAGAGCCTATTGTTCTAGCCAACTGTAGATGAAGCAGTCAACAAATTAGAATCCCTGATGTCATGGAGCTTACATTCTAGTAGGTGAAATTAGACAGGTAAATACATAGTGTGACAGTTAAGACTGTGTGTCAATTTAGCTGGGCCATGATTCTCAATAGTTTGGCAGTTATGTAATGATGTAATCACCTCCATGATGAGATCTGGTATGAGCAGTGTCTTAGTTATCTACTGGTACTATAACAGAAATACCACAAGTGGATGGCTTTAACAAAGAGAAATTTATTCTCTCACATTGCAGGAGGCTAGAAGTCCAAATTCAGGGTGCCAGCTCCAGGGGATGGCTTTCTCTCTCTGTTGGCTCTGGGAAAAGGTCCTTGTCATCAATTGTCTTAGTTCTCTAGTGCTGCCATAACAGAAATACCACAAATGGATGGTTTTAACGAAGAGAAATTTATTTCCTCACAGTCAAAGTAGGCTAAAAGTCCAAATTCAGGGCGTCAGCTCCAGGGAAAGGCTTTCTCTCTCTCTTGGCCTTCTCATCAGTGTTTCCCTGTACTAGGAGCTTCTCAGCGCAGGGACCCCGGTCCAAAGGACGCACTCTGCTCCTGGCACTGCTTTCTTGATGGTATGAGGTCCCCCTGTCTCTCTGCTCACTTCTGTCTTTTGTATCTCAAGAGATTGCCTCAGGACACAATCCAGTCTTATAGATCCAGTCCTGCCTTACTAACACAACTGCCACCCATCCTCCCTCATTAACATCATAGAAGCAGGTTTACAACATACAGGAAAATCACGCAGTACCAGGAATCATGGCCTACCCAAATTGATACACACATTTTTTGGGGGACATAATTCAAACCATGACATCAATCTTCCCTGGTCAAGGAGCTTCTCAGCTCAGGGAACCCAGGTCTAAAGGACAAGGATGAGCTATTCTCCTGGCTCTTGTTTCTTGGTGGTATGAAGTCCCCACTTCTCTCTGCTTGCTTCTCTCTTTTATATGTCAAAAGAGATTGATTTAAAACACAACCTAATCTTGTAAATTGAGTCCTGCCTCATTAACATAACTGCTGCTAATCCCATCTCATTAACATCACAGAGGTAGGATTTACAACACATAGGAAAATCACATCGGATGACAGAATGGTGCACAATCACACAATACTGGGAATCATGAACTAGCTAACTTGACACACATTTTTGGGGAACACAATTCAATCCATGACGAGCAGCAAATCAGTTGAAAAGGAGTTTCCTTGGGGGTGAGGCCTGCATCCCAATATATATGTACTTTCTGGCAAAGCTTGCTGGCTTTTGCTCTGCTCTGGATCCTGCATTCTGCTCATCATCATCTGACTCAAAATCATTTCTTTCCATGGCACAAAAGTATACTTTTTTTTGAAGGCACCCTAACCAGACTAAGACAAGCAGGACTTGAGCCAGCAGCCTGCCATCTTACTTGCCAATCTTGGGTTCATCAGCCCCTGCAATTACATGGTCAGGAGAAGCCTTCAGCCTGACACCTGACCACAGACTTGGGACTTTCCAACCTCTACAACCGCATGAGCCATTTCCATGATATAACTCTCTCTCTGTATATATATATATACATATAAGGGTAAGTTAAAAAAAAATTGCTACTAGGGTTCAAGTTCATACATGCACAGGTTTGTTCCAAACAAAACGTGTTTAAACATGTCTCTGTTATTACTGGATGGCTGCAGACAAGTTCTCTTAGTAATACACTTGCCTTAGTCTGTTTTGGGTGCCTTCAAAAAAAAAGTCAGGGCTAATATCAAGTTTTTAACAAAACTTAAGTGGACTTCTGCCCAAATCACTGAAACTTTGCAACAAGTTTATGAGAATGCTGTCCCACATAAAAAACGGTTTTTAGATGGATCATGCATTTTAAGGGAGGTCAGAAAGACCTCAAAGATCAGCCAAGAGAGGGGAAAACAGCTCAGAAGGTTATGGTGACTGTTTTTTGGGATTCCCAAGGGGTAATCTTGACAGATTTTCCTGAAGGCCACAGGGCTATCAAGGGGGCTTATTATGAAGAAGTTTTAAGAAAACTAAAAACTGCATTGGTGAGAAAAAGGCCAGGAAAACTGCACCAAGGAA